ACAGTTATTCATAGTCATGCTACATTACAAAATCACATCTATGACCAATATTTAATTCTGTCAAAATCACAGCTATGACCAATACTTAATTTCTACATACAATATGCTATGATAGGTATCAAATTTATAGGGAAAAATTCCATTTAATATCACCAGTATTTTTGAAAAATGAAAAGAAAAAAAAACAAATATTTTACGCAATGATAATAAAAATCAATAACCCTCCCAGCCTCTCGTTGAAAGTTAATCTTATAACTAGTACACACAATAACCTAATCTACATAAATGGCGGGTTGGTTTTTGTGGTTTTCCGATATTTTACCACAATGGCTGTTGGATGATGTTCGTCACTTCTGTCTGTTGAAGTGCTCGTTGTCACTCTATTCAAGACTAATTGAGATGTTTCCATTTTAGGGCTTTTTTTTGGTCTCCAAATAGCGCCCTAGTTTTCCTTTGCATCGACACATCTAATTTTAATTGTTAGATTTTCGCCCCAGATTAATAAGATCTTAAACTGAGATAGGAACAGCATTCAAACTGCATGTTTTATTATATTTTCCCCCGTAAAAAGGAAGAAAGTTAATAAGGTGCAGGAAGACTTAGGAACCCGTGGGCTGAACTTTATTACGTTAATCAGCAAGCATGAGGTACCTTCTATACTCGATGGCAAAGAGACACCGCAAAAGACAATAAAATGGAGCAAAGAAAGACTGCAATTACAAAAGTGACATAATTTCTACGAAAAATGCGTCACATTTACGGGATAGCTTGCACAATCGATATCACTTTTGTGACGATTGTCTAAAGATGAAATTACTGTCTTTATAAAGGCACTCGGACAACACGGTCAGAGAGATTTTGACATATTTTTTATTCTTTACACTTTTTATTTAAAAAAAAGTATATAATAATTCAATTTTTTAAATAAATGTCAATGTACATTTAAAAAATCAAAACTATTTAATACTTCTTTATGCACTTAATTGATGGTTATGTTTTGCTTATACCCGTATAAATATATTTCTTTGTGGTTTTATAATATAAATATACTTTCATTTTTTCATCACATTCATTTAACATGTATACCCATAGTCTCTGCACGAGTTTGGTAATTATGTTGTGTGTTGATTTAAGGAGAGAAATCCACCTTCTAAATCCCCCTTCTACTATAAATCTTTAAATAAGAGACAGATTTGGCATTAATTTAACAGTATATATGCTAGATATTTCTGAATGATGGTTTATCTTTCATTGATGAAAGAGATCAATTATATATATTGTAATTAAAACATGCACACTGTACTTTATAAATGCTTACATGTATAATCCATCTCAGTCAAATTAGAATCTTTGACATCTGTCAGGGTAGTCAATTTCCAGCAACCCCCCCCCCCCCACACACACACAAACATTGCACGAAGATGCTTTGAATAAAAGGCTTTAAAACACGCAATTTTTTAGTCTAATTTTCGAGGAGTCATTTTAGATTTGATTAAAAAAATTGAAAGTACGGGCTTTTGATTTTTTTATAATATGAAATGCATATGTACATTTTAGTCTAGGTTATATTTATATTTTTTGTTTGTCTTTCGAACATTGTGCAATAGATTAACACAATTATCCACAAACCTCATTTAAATGTATTTATAAAAACAAGACAGCATACTTTCATTATACATATTTATATTAATTTAAACAGAAGATTCAAGCAGAAATGTACTATAATAAATATTTCAAAATGGAATTTGTCGTTTAAAAAAAGTTGCTTTCAATTTCTATACCGGTACAACATTTGTATATCTTCAAATATTAAACTTTACATGTAAGACGTTTAAACACATGTCAGTGGTATAACAGTAAAACCCTTTCTAGGTTTCTTCATGAGAACATGGATAATTAAGGACACAGAAGAGTGTGACGACATCCAGCTATAATAGGTCTCGTTAACTCTGGTTCATATAACACATGTTAAATATGGTCAACTAAAACCCAGACAGATTATATCTAATAAATACGTCACGGTTCTTTTTCAAGTTACAGTGAAAGAGATCCCTTTTAAAAAGTCTATATCTAATTAAATTCGCATTTTAAATTTGCAAATAATTTACATGACACGAGACCTTTCCGGGAAAACCGCAATCATCGGAAAAAGTTGACTTTTAAATCCAAAACAAGACGTCTGTTCACGTTCAACAGATTGAAGGAAAAAAAAGTATTATAGCCAAGGACATAATAGTGCGGTATATGTTTTAAAAGCAAAAAAAAATTCTGTATGTATGTGTCATGTTCCGAGTGCGAGATTTAAGGAAAATAACACTTTAACTTGAAAAATCAAAATTAAATAGTTTTAGAATTAAATGTTTTCATTACATTTGGAGGTACCACCTTAAATGACCTAGATGATGGTGGATTGTTTATTTTTATCTTTTTTTCGTAGATACACTGTAAAAAATGTGTTTACAATTCAAACACTTTTCTAAACACTTTCTTGTCACCTCCTTTTTTATATGTTTAATTTCTAAACATGTAAAATTCCTAAACATGTCTTAGAAAGTGTTTAGAATTTAACACTTGTGTGCTTAGAAATTAAACACATGTAAACACATAAACACATGTGTTTAAATTCTAAACACATAACAGCAGATGTGTTTAAAATCTAAACACATCATAAGTTTAAATTGGACCTGCAGAAAAACAAAACACTCTCGTAAATTTAGGCACAAAAAGTATGTTTTTTAAATGCGCATAATTGTCAAAATTTTCAAAATATGTAACCAATATTAACTATTTTCCATAAAGCCACTGAACGTTGGGATATGTATTTAATTATACAATAGAATGGACACTGTGTGATGTACATGTACTTAATTTACACAAATAATGTAGGAGATAGAACTGAAAAGATTTGATTAGTCTCAACAATTCAATCAGAATGACACATAATTTATAACGTACACATAGATATCAAACTTTTAATCTTCAAAATTATTAAGAAAATAATATTAAGCTGACAATTTAATATCAAAACTTCATTGAATATTTCTAAAAGTCTTTATTAAAGAATTGTTGAATTAAAAATACAAATTGTATATTTATGTACATATTTATTATAATCATTATAATTTGAATCGGCTGCAGAGTTTTCCTCATGTCAATCACAAAAATATCAAATTTTATTAACTTTCAGCAAGTCCCAAAGCACCACATATTATAATCTATATCCCATCAATATCTGCCAGAAAGTAATCCATTTCGAATGCACAAAGATAATTGTAAACACTGTCGAAATAACACAGTAGTCTTCAAAAAATGAAGTTTCAAAGTGTTGATTATGGAACAACAAAATTACATGTTGAAGATGACACCAGGTACTCTGATACGTGTATTTTGAGTTCGATCTGGACTACAGTGTCTGCAGGAAAGAAAGCCAGAATTTAGAAAAAGTACACTATCACTGATATTTTACATTGCTTGGAAAAACAAAATTGTTCAAATTTAAGTGAAACTACACTGATATAAATATAGATGTTTTAATGACATTTAATAATATTTCCTATCCTGCAAGTCTATGAACGAATTCAAGATATCCCAAGTCAACTTTATTTACATTGCTCATCGTGGTTAATTAATGCAAAAAAGAAGAAAACAAACCTTTAATAGATGTCCTTTCACGTTTTTCACTATTTCGTCATGGTTATCCCTTGAATTGGGTTGTCATAACTCTCATTGATACATCACCTTAGCTTGTTGTGTTTTCTTTGTTTAGATAGCCGCTCAAATTAACGTTCAAATATGTGTGTCATTTCCGGGAAGATAACTCTGCACTTTACAGTAAAACGTGTTTAATTTCTAAACGCGTTTAGATATAAAACATGTTAAGACGTAAGTGTTTAGTTGTTAAACACAATGCTATACACGTTTAGATCTAAACATGTAACAGAAGTGTTTATTTCCTAAACGCAATTTTTACAGTGTACTGTATCATTAAAGGTCTGCAGAACTGCAGATATGTCTCGCTTCAAATTATCAAATAAATGGCGCTATGCATTGACAAACTTGGACAAGTTGAGTGGGTTCCATGTATAAATGTTTTACCATCGTGTCTCGTAAGACGAGTTATGTTTTATTCGTTAACTTTAACCCCTCTATATAAGCAGACTTTCTTACACTACTCATTGGAATTTACCCTCATGAGGTGTGTTTTCAAGGAATGGATTGCTAGTTCAAGCAAAACCTTTAAAACCTTTTTTTTTTTTAAAAAAAATAATAATTTGTTCTCTGCAGTCATTAAATTAAGAGTTTAATCTTTCCTCGCGATTTCTAGGAATTGTTCACTTAATAGTTTGGAACGTAAATCATGCTTTTAGAAATATTTACTGTGACAGGTGTAAATTTCAAAAACATCTCTACTACATATAATTACTACAAAGGTTATTTCTATTTCCAAAAAATGTGTTCTAAAAAATACTGTGTTTAACATTTTAATAACCACCTTAATCTGAATTATAATACAGCTCATCATAAAAGTGTGGTTCTTACATATTTAAATCAGCATAAATATCACTTTCCTATCCTTCATGATTTAATAGAATCATCGTTTTTCAAGTTTAAAAATCGACAAGTTGTATTAATATTTATATTTTATTAATAATAGACCATTGGAAGGTTGAGTATAGGGTGTTCATTTACTCCTTCTTTCTAATGACATCCTTTATTTTTATCCTATTCAATAACTACCCTGATCTTATTTTGTGTATCATTTCCTGCTGTTCATGGTCATAATCAGTTTTTTTTTTGTTGGTAAAGTTTTGTCTCAAAATCATTTATATATTATACAGATAAACCATATTCTTTCTTAAGGTTATATATATATATATATATATATATATATATATATATATATATATATATATATATATATATATATATATATATATATATATATATATATCTCAAAGCAATCAATATAAACACTAAAAAAAGAAAAGAGGATGCCTTCGGTCGTTTTACAACACTTTAATATTTCATAAGCCATGGACAGAATTAAGTGTCTTGGACACTTTTAGCACAACACAGAATAGTACGGTCATAATCATACGCTGGAATTAGAACACACATAATGAAACTCTTGCAATGGTCGCGCCCTTCGACAATGAACCGGATACGTAAAGTCGTTAGACTTGGCTTAGTTCCTTATTATTACTAGCGTCCGACCAAAGTAAGAGTTTTTACTTGAACAAATACTCTGTCAACAATTTTTTTTTAAAAATCAACAGCTCGTTTACAGGATAAGTGTACATCTCATGTTTCTCTCACAACTCAATATAATATATTTGTGATAGATTTTTTTGGTTATATATAATAATAATAATTAAACAAAACACTTAATTATTAACAACTCTCATACTAAAGCAACAAAATATTATGGCGGAAGCTTTCCTTTGGCAATTTGAAAATAAAAATCAATGTTTAGATTATCTGGTAAAAGGTACATTCATGTGAAGCAAAATAATAAAAATGACAAAACTATCCTTGGATTACATTGGCTTAAGTTCTGATTTTTTTTAAATTGTGACATGGGAAGCAATTTGTTTTGTTTTATGAAAAAAAGACTAGAAAAACAAACAAACATGCACAAAAATTTGCTGATCTTAAACTTCATAACCTAAAAATATGATATCATTTAAGATTTGATAAGTCAACAGATCCCGAACATCCCCTGCTACCCAAAGCCACGTGTATAAAGGAAAGAACATTTTTAAAAATCAAACGTTTCGCTGATGGTGAAAAAAAAGTCATCAAGACAAGTTTTATCAATTTTCAATTGAAATACATAAACAAAACATTGTATCAAATTAAAACATGAACAAAACAAAACAGATGTTTAATACTAACAGATTGTTTTATACACTGTGTATGGTGTGTTTATTTCTTTGGCCTCTGATACAAGTAATGACATATAGCTTCTTCAAAATAATAATAATAAACATTACTGGGATGATAATTAAAATATTTACATGCAAAAAATGTGAAGCGAGGGGGATACTCAGAATAAAATGCTACAGGTTATATAAATTTTTTGGTTGGATGTTTTAAATAAGTGTGTAAACCCTAGACGTAGACGAATTCATCTAACAAAGACTACTCAGCTATCTAAAACTAGCTTTTAAAGAAACGGCCAAATTGTTGAGTTTAGTATTTTTTGCTGTTAGAAAAAAATCTATATATTTGATGGAATGTTATATGACATTAAATTTAGCTGGGTATAAAATTGGGCTTAAATGAAAAATGAAAAGACGGTTTATAACCAAATGAGTGAAAAAAAATGAATTGCAGTTAAAATGATGTTTTCTTTCAATTCACCAGACCATCTTTCTTGACTACAATGTCAATTTAACAAAGAAAACAAACGTCTGGTTTACTGAAACAATAGGGATTACATGAGAGATATTGTTTTAATTCCATGCCACGAAGATCACCTCGCTAACTATAGGAACATATTTTGATTATAATGCATGCAATGTACATTTCAAGGAGATAAAGCGGAGAAAAAAAATGCCGTTGTTTTCAACAGTAAAATATACATGTACAAAAAATGTATTGCTATATTTATATATATATATATAAATCTTGATAATCATGCGCACCACTTACATGATTTTGATTATGTCTGGAATGTTACTTCGTACATTCAGCTATTGGGGGTATACATGGCACGTTCGTTTTAGAGGGGCAAGAGAAATTCTACTATACACAAAAATGTAGAGTAAGATTTTCAACCTAGGTAAGCCTTGATCATATCAAGTCTCCTCGGTATGGTAAATACTTTTATATTTCACTTTCAGGGGCGAAAATTAAACGCACAGTGAGACTGTAGCACCGGTTCTCTGCCCTTAGTTCCTTCTCTGACGCTTGAATGCTGCTAAGGATTCGTTCCTCACAGATCAGAGCAGAGAAGCAGTGAAACTAGACTTATAAAGTTAGTCGTGTTTTTGAATGGTCAATAAATCAGCTGCCTCCTTGACACATGGAAATATTTTAGAACCTGTGCACCAAGTTCGACTAAATTTGATAACATCAAAGCTTAAAGCAAGGGGGCACAACCCATGTTTCTAAAGTCAATGAAATAAAAGAAAATGAGAACTATAATGCACTGCGGTCTTACAAAAAGAAAAGGCTTGAGTTCGAAAAAGTTTTTTTTTCTGCGAAGGGGGAAATAAATGATTTCTCATATACTATTAAACAACCACCAAAACAGAAAATACACAAGCATTAACAAAAATATATAAAATATTCCTTTTTAACAATATTTTGTAAACTATTATGACTTTTTTTCCTGTACAAACCATTGAAAATACAAATAAGATAGGAAAGGGGATTCAAGTTTTGGAAAGACTGGGTGTGAGTAGACGTTAACAGTGCCCTATATTTCGATCATTCATATAGTCATTGTATGGACATGTAGGGCCAGTTAAACGACCCACCGCTTAATAACATGTCTCTGATGAGTGTCTCAATGGGGGTTTTACCAACCAACCGGACGAAGAACAATTGTTCTATGACTTGCGCACTGACCGTTCGTAGAGATGGCAGCCGTAGAAGGAGTTTTCCAAATCGTGTGGGTTGGTTTGGATATTGGCTTCTGACGTACTCCTCGAGGGCGCACTGAGATTTCTCTTGTATGTTTTCTATGTGAGTAGCGTCCGAAAGCCCACAAGCATCTGAAAAAGAGTTTCATATATCAGTCGAATGTTGTTAAATTCATGGAACTAATGTCAAAAGGAAAAAAATACTGGAAAAAAAACTGTTTTTTTTTAATTTTAAAAATTTATGATGCTGTCTGTCCTCCTTGATATATTTCCTACTTTCTTTTTTTTTTTCTTTTTTATATCTACTCATTTTCTGTCATCTGTTTGCAATGTATATGTGCCTCTGACAAATTTGTATAAAATGTATATATGTAATTAATGGTACCCCATGTACCAATATTTTGGTTTGGGTGAATAAATTGAATTTGAACTTGAAAAGTATGGTGACGATAAAGGCATACCACAAAAATGGTATTATTAATATTGTACAATTAATGACTTAAAAAAAAAATTAAACATCAACTCATGTTGTCATTTGTTTGTAATTTATAATTTTTAAAAAAAACATAATAGCTGTTCATTTTATGCCTTTAGTAAGAAATATATTAAATATATGAATGTGTTCACTGCTCTGCTGACATAAATTTTGTAACTGCTCTGTTGTCGCATTGCTTTCTTTTCATAAATTTTCAATGTCCAAAAATTTACATTCTTTTTTATGGACAGGAATTATGTATATGTAAATCAATTTTTTATCTTCAAATCCCCAATCCCCCTCTTTTTGCTTAAATTTCTGAAGTTTTAATCATCTGGTAAAGGAAATATATGTATCAGCAACTTTTGCTCTTAAGTAAGATATAAAAAAAAAATTCACCATTTCCAAGCAAATATTCAGAATTATAAGCTCGATTTGACAACAAATTGAATAATTTCCTTATCTACCCCGTGAACCTGCACACATTTTTCAATAAATAGTATTCAAATTAACTTATCAACTGATTGGAAAATTAATTAACGTTCTGTTAATTGCGCCCGTTGAATCGCTTTATTGTACTTCTAATTATCAATTTATGAAATAATATTACAAAACAAAAAAATTAATATTATCTTTTTGAGTGCTTTGTGGAAATTAACAGGAAAAATGAATACTTTTATCTTAATTGTTTGTAATAATTCGATTCTGCAGTTTTGTATCTTCTTCTTCGAGCATCTTTTTAGTTATGTGGGATATTATAATTATATAAATTGCTTCTTTCTCAGAAATATTTCAGGGGTTTGTATATTTGTATCTTGATAAAATTCTTGACTCATTTTGAATGGAATGTTAAATGACACAGGAATTATTTTGTCGACTTTAATTATAATATGGTTGCATTTTATTAATTGTTCGACCATCACATCGACACTTGAATTTTCGTGATGATTAGGGAAATACTTTGTAATAAACAAAGAATTTTTTATGAAGAAAAATACTTTAAGAAGTGGTAAATTTATAAAATGTCAGTTTGGGGGTAATATTTGTATCCCGAAAACATTGCTTGCATTTTGTGCAATATGTTGAACATTCCGTCTTCAAAAAGTTTACGTGTTGCGCTTCCTGCTGTTATCTACATGTATCTCGAAAACATAAAAGAGAGAACCGACATGCACATGATAAAACGCAATCTCCCGATTCCGGGTGAGAAAATTATTTCTGTCTTCTAGAATGAGCAGCTGTGTATAGGCAGACGTATTTATCGGTGGATTTTTGAAGGTTAACTTATCTTTTAAATTTATCGCCATTTATTCGGCTACCATTAACCATAGCGCGCCCAGATAAAATGTTTGCATTAAATTGGTCGTTACATAATAAGCAAAGGAGAAATGTTAATAGTGAAATTCGCCTGGCCCCGCGCTGCATACTGCAGGTCGTTTTTCTTTTTTATCCTACTGTAACCTTTCCTGCATAATATAAATACTAATGAGCATGCATCTCTTTCCGGTACAAAGGCAATTTTGATCTGTGACGCTTTGTTCGAATAAACCCTTGCAAACTTGCTTCTGACCCATGTAAGAAAATATTTTAAAAAAGGTTTTTTGGGGGACTACCCAACCTGTTTCTGTTAAATGTCAAGAGCTCTCTATAACCCTTTCTTTTTAGGGCAGTAAAAATGAATGGATGTTAAACCTTTTTATGTGGATACATTTGGAAAATGTAAATGAACTCTTTTTAAGCTTATTCTAGCGAATGAAACTATGTAGGCAATTACAAATATCCATTATTTATCCTTGCGTTACCCACATTTATTTATGAATTTAATTTAGGACAAAGATGTCATTACAATTTGACCGGTTTCTTCAAATTACATAATTCAATATATCAAGAAAAAAGGTAAAGAGGCGAAAAGCATTTTGCAAATTTGCTTCCTTCTTTTTATGCCTGTGAAATTTGCATGCTAGTCTATTTCCCTTAAATGTCAGTTCTATTTCTCCTTTATTGCGCTGGTATAACGGGATCAATAGCGCTTTTCAAGCCTAGCTAGCATTCAGAGTCCCATAACGGAAAAATGATCATCACTTTACCGGATAATATAAATAATAATTCATTCAGGTATTTTAACATGTTAGTTATTTGTCAAGAAGGTGAGCCTGATCAATAGGTCTGTGATCGAGACTGGTTAATTTGCGGGAGGCGGGGCATTTTACATCGCTCTGTAAAGTCCTAATAACGCGGATGATTATCCGATTCAATGCTGCATCTAATGTATTGCAATTACAACAAATTGTCGAGGTTTGTCCCGACTATGGACAAAAAAACCTTATGCAATAGTCCACAGGACTCACATTGTGACCAAAACACAAATTACGAGCACAATTTTGTCATATGCACATTATCCACGGTAATTTTGTCGCTTTCAATTTATATGTCAGCAGTTTTAAATGTAAATATTATAACCTATTTTTGAAATGCTGAAATAAATTACATAAATTTCTGATAATGGTTTGCCTCCTCTATTATCTAATCAGAATGGCTTATTTTTATCTGTGGTCTACTCTTTTTACGCCCATAATTTAACTGTATGGAAGTTTAAAAATATATTTTGTTTATGATTTTAAAAATCAATCACTAATAATAACAAAAAAGTGCCCATTGCAATACTTTCCTACAGCAGCAACCATGAATATTTTCTCTCTCTCTCTCTCTCTCACACACACACACACACACACTCTCTCTTGTTTTAAATTAAAGCGGATTTATCTTCGACGCTGCTAAATTCATCTGTTTTTTGACCTCTCTATATAAAACGGGAATATTTTATTCAGAACATTGTCATGAATTCCTTTAATAAAATTGCAGTTGTTCTTGCAACTGTTCTGAATGCATATGTAACTAAAAGTCTAAAACTGTTTCCATGTCTTTATGATTTTTCAATAAATAAAAAAAACTATTAGAGGAGACATCGTTCAATGATTTAAAAATTCGAACAAAGATTTTTCATGGTATGCTTTACTGGGGGAATAAATACATTTAATAATTGCGAGAAGTATTGGATCATTCACTATGAAAGAGGACAGATGCTTCATTGTCATTCCATGCCTTAATTTATTCATAACTCATACAGTCACTAATTTTCCCCAAGGTCTAAAAAACACCAAAGAATACGGGATTATTTTATTTGTCTTATTTACAGCAATAAAAATGCGGCATCTGGCTCAAATGCTGTAAGTTGATTTGTTTTTATTTTATACAACTAATTAAAAATACTAAACGAATTTTAGTATTGAAATTATAATAATTAATTAGACATTATGTGTCAGAATTTTAAAAGCAATTTCAAGTTTATTGGATGACAAGATAGGTTGCACTTTGTAACGCCTCGGGCCACTGCTATCTCCTATCACCATCGTGCATGTAACCTCGTGATTTGGAAAACGAGAGAGAAAATAATCTCCCTAGGCTATGTAGCTGAAAAGTCAAGGTGCTTATCTGAAGGGGGAAGGGGGGAATGCTATATTTTCATCTTTTGTCACCGAACCACTGTCAACCAGGTGTTATTTATTAGAGCTAAATTTACATCATAAATATTCCTTCCAATATGTACTCAAATTTTAGGTGTACTTAAAAATGTGATTTTAATATAATCGGATGATCTTAAAAACGCATACAGAGAATTAGATATGTTTAAGGACTTTAATTTTGCTATCAGATGCATATTTCGGATAACCGAAGAAATATTTGGAATGGCCTGGTGTTGCACTAGAGTGATATAATATTGCTTCACGTAATCTTTGAACAAAACTGGGGTTTTGGAGCATTGCCAAATTATTTATAGCTAGAGGCAACATGTTTTTTATTCAGCAGGTTTAGAATCATATGCAGTGTTTTACACTCTTGCAATGTGCAATGAAAGAGAGAGAATGAAAGAAAAAAGGGCACACTCGAGGTCTGAAAAGGTTGCGGCATACTCGGAAATCTTTTCATCGTCATAACAGATCTTGAATTAGACGACTATCTTTAAACATTGCTAGGTTTACACAGATAGCATATCTGGGACTTAATACTTTGGGGGTCATTTTTTCTCGTCACAAAGATTGCTAATGGAGTCATTTAAGTCGACAAAACGTTACATAAGAGAGTAAAGATACTACACTTCACCTTCTATTCCAGCTACACCAAAGGTTAAAAACAAATCGGAAAGAATTCCATTGGGTTTTCGTTATTTCCAAGACATGAGGGTGACAATTATTAGTGTGCTTGGGTGAATTTTACGATTCTGATGCAAAATCCTGTGGTGAAAGGAAACCCTAATCTCTGTTAAATCCCCTCCAATGTAAAACGTCAGGAGGGTGTTACTTTTTCTCATCATAATGTGTTTACTTTTATGAAGTTTGAATTTTCCTTAGATATCCTTGTGTCTCTCGCAGTTTGCCAACATTATTCGCGTAGATATTTATAATAAACACAAAAAAGCCTCCCCGGCAGAAGACGTGATATATTGGGCTTTTCCATGCAAGGTTGAATCGAGGTTAAATGCGACTCTATTTTTTCTACTTAATCAAATTCATGACAAGTGTTAATTAATCTTTTATTGTTTGTCATTTATATATGTAACCCTTATGACATTTCACACAAAACCCCTAAAATTGCCAAAGGAAATCGAGAAAAATACATAGTTTCGGTGATAACTGCTTTAAAAATACTTATTCAGCTGCATTATACTAATTTTTTCCCCCTTTTAATCGTCTCATATCATTATCATTATCTGGTCAAAAATTGCTATACACGTACAAGATGAGCAATGCATCACCCGTGTCAAATAAAAATATCAACGAAAAATAAAAGGCACGCCATTTTCCCGCTGCATACCCATGCATGGTATTGTATTCATCACTCTAGCCATCGGTAAAAATAAAGAGGAGCGATAAAAGCAATTGACCATTGACGGTCAAGTCGACAAGAAATGCACTTGATAAGCTAGAGACATCGTGGGAAATTTTTGTAATGAAATGAATTGAGCAGAATTGGAACAACTCATGAATATGTGAGTTGATGTTGGAAAGAATTGTATGGTTGATTGCCAAAGAGTATTTGATGCTGACATGCTGGTTTCACTTCAATAATCTTTACATGTGTATTCTGTGTCAAGTATCAAAAGAAAATTAATTTTACCATAGAAGTATTGACAAATGAAAATTCCATGCACCGATTACATTAGTGGACAGAGTTCATAGTAGCCGATATTCAATTAAAAAAATGCATAAATTATTGAAAAGAAGGAAAAAGCATTTAAGGATAGATGATATAAACAAAACATTGGATGCCGAGATTGATAAAGATTTTTTTAAAAAAAAAAAAATTAATTTGATTGAAAATAGTGCAAATATCAATTTTTTAAAATATTAAGACATTGAAAACTCTCTATGGCGTTCCAAATTCTACCTTTTTGCCATCACCCTTATTAATCTATACAACTTTTTATCACTTTGTAGGACATTGTAGTGAAGCCTTGAATGAAAAATTGAAAATCTGTGCAGTTAAAATTTATTTATTTTACTTGTATAAACATGGTCAGTTGTTATTTCCATGATTGTTGAAAAAAGTTCGTTTGTATCAGCTGTCTAAAAATGATACTGATTTGTATTGTGCTTAGTATATCGAATCTGACTACTTTCCATCGGCAAATTAAAAAAAAAAATATTTGAAAAACACTCAACATTTTAAGTTAAATTTAAACAAAAAATTACAGAGAAAAAAATATAAAGTTTACGTATTTGTTTTTGAAACATAGTATCACTGTGTGTTTCGTCACATGTGTGACCTCTGGCCTGTCTGTGGCACTTGTTTATAAATCCGTCCAAGATAAATTAATATTTCCTTGCTGTCTGGCATCACTTTTCATCACTTCTTAGATTTTTTGTGTGGCGTTGTATATCTACGTTATATATTTTGAATGTAAACGATTCATGAAAATGTCCCGTTCTATGGTAAATAATATTTTTTCTTTATAAATATCAAAGCATTTTTGCTTGCTTGCAATTTATATAATTCGTATGTCTTTTTAAGAATAATTTACCTTATCCTCTCTCTCTCTCTCTCTCTATATATAATTTAAAGCGAAACAGGAGGTTAATTCCATTTCTATACAGTATGTTGCTTTCAGGAATATTTCTTTTATATGTGGATGATTTATCGAGAATCTCGCCTTTTGTAATGGCATGTATTATATCGCGGTTATTATTAGTTTTAAAATATGTCGCCATAATTTTGTCCTAGGTCACAGTGAACTCCTGGTATGAATGCTACATTGACAGTGTACTAAGGATCAAAGACACGTCCTCAAATCTGACAATCTTTACATTGCAAGCATCAACGACTTGATTGATTGTTTTGTATGCATTTTTTTTTCTATTCTTGGTCATCTAAGAGGTGAATGTTCGATGCGTTTTAAGTAACCACAAGTTTAGCTTCTGAAAAAAAATGTCCAAAGATCTCATTTTTCAATTATCAGTTCAGAAAAAAGCTCAAACAATTAAATTCTTTTGCGCTTACAACATATTTTTTTCCAATTGAGGAGGAACGATTCGGTCTTACAGGAATTGGCCATTTTCTCTACCGTTCAAGAAGTCAGTAAAGTACACGATAGGACATGGGATAAAAGTATATAGAGACTGGACATAAACAAGGCTACCCCAGTTCCGTCACAAAAACCCAAGGATTTTCCTGACTTTCATTCCCAATATTAACTTCATCACTGATTTGCTATTTCTACTAATCTGCAGGAAGCTTACATGCTAAGGACAGGACGGGTCAAATCACAGTAGCTTGATAATTTGATACACAATTATTTCAATACTTGTGATGCATGTTGAATTTTGGAAAATAATCCAAGATATAAAACGATATGGTTTGATGATCAGAATCGTATTACGACACGCCTTTCCAATCATCTTTTATTAGAATTTAGGGCAATTTACTAATCTAACTTTATCAAAAGAGATTCCCTACTTATAAAGGATGTAAACGAGAGTTACATGTAAAGGGAGACTACTTACTGTATCCGTTGACAGCGGGTCTTTGGGACGGAACTGGTTCAGGTTTTCTATCTGCAAAATCAAATATAATATTCTACTCTGTGTAACAACTTTTAATTTATTTGAAAGATCTTTTTTCCCCTGAAATCAATATAATTTTGCAAACTTGGCTTTTCTATTTTATGAAAGATCTGCACGATATTATGTTCAATGGAGAGGTTAAAAGTAAATAATAACAGAATTATGCAATATTTTCAATATGAAATCAATTTACAGGGTTCAAAACCTGTGGGAGTCACGAGGGGCTTCTTGTGCATATTTATTTAAACATAATTCATTACGGATAAAACCTTTTCAGATCAATATAAAATGACTATTTGCACAGTCTGTATGAAACACGGAATTAAAACTTCAGTTTTTATTGCACAGGAGGTTGGATGATAAAACACTGTATTCTTTATTACAATATTTACACCTTGTGTATTTTTTTTATCATCTCACTTTGTATTTTTACTGTCTATTAACACGTACAGAATAAAACCGGATATAATAAGGAAAGGGTGTAGACTTGCATAAAAATTAAAATGAAATGCGTAAAGAACAAACCTGAACTAAATAAAACAATGGCTTTAAGACAGCTGTATTCTGCAGAATCTACATGGAGAGTCTTCAGTTTCTCCACTTGTTCCTGGAATATGCGAATGTGGTCCATGAAAGCTACAACACGGTCAGCGGCCATTGGGCTAGCATGGAGACCAGCCGCTGCAAGAAGAGGTGCCACATGAAGCGGCATAGAGCACTGGGCTGCATTCAAAACAAACAGCTCGCTCCAACTCAGTCGAAGCAATGCAACTTGGTCTGTGATTTGCAATTCCGGAAAAAAGGGAATATTTCTTGCCCATTCCACAGCACTAAACAACAATCTTGCGGCTAGTTCACATATATTTTCGATGCCCATTATGTTATTAGGTTGCATACACTGTCCATAACGCGATGTTGGATATGGTTCGGCTCTAAGTAACATGGAAATGAAACTGGAAAGGTATGTGTGTCCATTTAAAGGGTCACCATTTGCCCATGTGACTTGCCCGGGGAAGGGATGCTGCGTTGGTGGTACTCTTCCTCTTTGAACTGCTGTAAATATGTAAAAGAGTGAAAAAAAATAATAAGTAAACTCTTTCCAGATTATTTGATAGAAAACGTGGCAAAAAAGCACCTATATATATGAATGCACCTAATGCTAATGGGTTAATTCAGCATGTTGAGAACCGATTCATTAGAGAGACAGCCTATTCACATATCCACATCCTCTCTGTTTTGTTCACTGATTGATTTGATAAAAACCACAAAACGCTCTTTCTTAACCACATAACGACATGCAGACAGGACATGTACAAGGAAATTCTCCAAATTATTCATGAAAGTATAATTTTCACTTTGGCTTTGGGACAAAGATACTGATTTGTACGTTAACTGGTCATTAAAAGTCATTCTCATTAACGCATAAAAACGCTAACAAAAAGAAAACAATGGAGAAGATAGGTGAAAGGCATGTCTATTGAATTTGTCAGTTTATCCATTACATAACAGTGATGAACGACTTTACAGTTATATTACTTGTACTTTAAACACACGTGTTTACATATCTATAGGTACAACATGAACTCATCGGTTAAACACATCAGCTATTACTTCTGTAACGCAATCAATTACAAACATCGAATCTATTTTCTCCTTTCTGCTTCGGCCTAGCTTCAAAGGAGGTTTCGACTGCAAGAACTCCGTAATAAAGCTCGTAAACACATTTGAAAAAGTGTGAACATCATATAACCAAATGTAGGAACAAAAGAGATGCTGAGCTGGACTGTGAAACAAAAGGCAAGTGAAGGCTTCTTGCAGTCAGTGGAAAATTATGCCGCTATAATTGATTTCATGCAATGACACTTTCTTGTCGAGGGATGTGGAGTGGTCCAAAAAAGACGCATTCACAAGTTTTCCTATAATGACATTGTAAGAAGAAGGACTACAGTATCATGCATGTGTTATGTAACGCGAATCTTTCCCTGGTTTTTCATGTTAATTACTTTCACCCATTCCGCAAAAGAAAGTAATTACTCGTGTACAAATGTCTCACATTTGTGCATGAAGTCGTAAAGATTTTTATGTAATGTTATTACCCAAAACCTACTTAAAATGAAAGGAGAAAAAATTACGGCACTATAAATCTGCATTTGTTCAAATATCTTGGCTTTGAGGTGCACACTCTCATGATAGTGCATGCATGTGCATAGAGGAATTTTTTTTCTGCCGCGCTCTCGCCCTCACATTTGCGTTTTTAAATTCAAGTTTATATCTTTGTTGAGCTCGCTGCCAACTTTTTGTACCCATGATAAATCCGTATGTCAGTTCGGTGTTGCACAGCTATGCGCAAAGCGACACCTGCGATAGTCTGCGTACATGTCTGGGTCGTGATTAACTTTTAAAAAGGTCGTCGTGTCACGGCTTTCTGACTTGGCGATATGTAGAACTAAATATATATCCTATACTATACAAAGTCGCTCACGCACGGATCCTTGATTTTTATATTTTGTCATAATCCTTTCACCATTACATAAATAATTTGCCCTTTTTCTTTTGTCTCTCATGGCGGTTGTATCATCTATATTGATAAAATATTAACATTTGAATATAAAATGCTGGTAGAGTGAAATAACCTTTTTAATGTGTCATTAGGGAATTTTGTCCAGGTCACATTGTTCATTCATTAAAAAAAAAACTAAAGGCATTGTCTTCGTAATGAGGTATATCTTGATTTTGCTCGACTCATTCCTATGTTTGAGCTCAAGTTTTCTTAGACAAGATAACCTTATAACTTTTTTGATAAAGGAAAGCTTCATAAAATATTTCCCCTTTGCTCAATACTCGAGTTTTTCAATGTATAAAATTAAATACAATATTCATTCTGCATCACATATTTTTCAGTAGAAACTAATTTCATTTTGATTGTAAATTAACTCTAACAGAATAGTAAGATAAGTTAATTATTTATTTAGAACATCTGAAATTATTTAATGATTCATTACAGTGATATGTACATGAAATTGTGAGCACGATTCAATTAACTACGTCTGCACCTGAGTACATATCATGTAGTTAAAACAATGTGAAAAATACTGTCCATATAACAAATGAATATCTAAAATGATTTGATATTTTTCTCCTTCACATAATTTTTAAATTATTATGATAAAATCTATATCACATAATGTTTTATGTGGCAAAAATTATAGAAAATGTCTTGCTGTATTTTTCCAGATTGATTTAGAAATGTATGTTTCGTCTCTAATTATTTTTTCCCCAAATCTTTTTCTTTATTTGAGGGAAAAGTGCAAGAGGTACATGAGATATAAGTCTACAAAAATTTATGAAAGGATCTTTCATTTTGTAATTATAAATAAATTGCAGGTACAGTCATAACAACTTTTTAAAATATATTTGTATATATTTTGGCATTAATTATCAAATACAAAGAAATATTTTAAGATATGTATTTCTGAAAGCATGTCAGCAAGTTAAAACGGTGGATTTCACAAACATTTCCTGCCCGACTCCGTTAAAACATAGCCAGGGAATTTTATCCTTGTGCTTTTAAAAACATGTTGAACTACACATCCGTTTCAAACTTCAATTTTCATTTTAAACAGGAAAACCGAAATACTCCTCACACTTAGACAAAATATCATTTTAACGATTATCGGAAGACCGTTAAACACTAGACCATGATAGGGGTTAAAATTACAAGTCATTTGTGTGAATTATTCATCGTACACCAATTACTGTATTCCCGTTTTGAATTGAATAGATACACAAAAAGTCGGAATGTTAAGTGAACTTGACTTTGGAGGAAACATGGTCAATTTGTGAAATAGTATTACACGTGTGGTTGGAATAATTCAAAACAATACTATCAATATCTCTATTTTACATTACTGTACGTTCACATTAAACTAGGTGACATGAATGAATTTATTTCAATCATAGAACGATATCATTATTTTTTCTCAATATCATTTCAAAGAAATCAGAGGAAAAACAAAAAAAAAATAATGAATGAAATAGTCAGTTGTATGATAACGAGGAGGTTTAAAACCTACCTTCTCTACGCATTCCCATTTTAAGACATTTTTTAAGTCGGCAGTATTGACACTGATTTCGATGGTGTTGGTCAATGGGACACTGCCGGCTTCCACGACATGTATATGATAAATTTCGTCTAACTGACCGTTTGAAGAAACTCTTGCAGCCTTCACAAGTAAATTGTCCATAATGTTTTCCGGAACTTTTGTCCCCACACACAACACATTCTATAACTTGTTGTTTATTGTCCGGTGACCCTACTCCATTCGGAGTACCATTGGTGGTGGGTTGGGCAGCAATGACTGTGGTGGGCGCTGGTTGCCCCTGGGTCGGGGTGACAGCTGTTGGGGTCCGTTGTGGGGGAGGAGCACTTGGTGGTGCCACTGCTGTCGGTGTGGTTGCACCGATCTCTTCCACAGGATCCCTTGGCCACGTATTGACTGCATTCGGTGGTGTCGGGTTTAAAGCCATCATATAGGGAAATATTTACATGCAAGATTTCGAGTGTATAGTGTTGTGTATCAAAGGTTATCCTCCAGATGCGGAAAAATATGAAACTTTTATAGTAGAACCGATGTCATCTGCAAAGTTGACTCCAGATGGCCAATATTGTTTCCATACAACACACTACCGAACCACATTTGATTAGGTCGTCCTCATAATAACCAGAGTCGTCCACATACAACCTTTAACATGTGTTGGATCGTAAATATAAACGTATTCTAAAGAGAGGAGATGGTGAGACGTTGGTGTGACGAGGTTCGCGCGGAGTGATTCCACATCGCCAGGAGTGGGTGGCCTAGAGTAGCGCTCTGTATGTTTTGAACTCTGACATTCGTATTAAAACTGTTGAGTTTCTATGGCAGTTTTCCATATAAGGAGTCTAATGTCACGTAAGTTCAAGAAGTATATCTCTGAGTGACAATGGCAGTCGCTTGGTCGAGGCCCCTTCGCTCTGGGGGCATAACACCGCACCATCTTCCTTGCTCCTATTGGTAGAAGCGGCCACTGGCAATCATTACTGCAGCTGTCAATTATAAATTTAATATTTCTGCGCACACTTTCAGTGGCATATAATCTGAAAGAGGTCGTGCCCACTGCCGGTCCAATGAATATCAGTATGGTAGGAGGGTCTAGCCAGCCCATGCTTATTATTCAAGTGTCAAAATGGCGAACAGCCTCTCGCGTATCTTGTGTAATGTTAGTCAATGAAATTATTAATGCCCCGTGTATCTGGTATTCCCCGCGTGAAACTGTCGTCTGCTCCTATCCATGGTTTGTCGTCTGCTGTTATTGCAAATATTGAAAATGCATAAAATTTGGAGTTTATCAATTTTACAATACTTATATCTCATTCCATGAAAACGCAGGTAAACTTTTACATTTGTTTTTGCTTCTTCTTCGATGGTTATAAATCTGACTTTTATCTGATTACCTACAGTTTTACCCAGGTGACGCACGGACAAGTAAATATATATCGTGCACTCCAAGCATAATGTGGTAGTTATTTATCAAAAGTCTGCTGACCTAAATTTGAGGTCACGATCGAATGCAGTTGTTTATCTTTAATTCTTCAATTGTAGACTAAGCCGTTTGCGCAACGTTACCTAAATTTTAAGGTCATAACCCGTCGGGCACATTTAAAAGATTGCGCAGCGCATGAATTTCCTTGCCATGCACTGCATTATCTGTCTGTAGACGTTGATAACTTCAATAAATTATAGGCGATCATGCCAAAATTCTAAGAAATAAAATATTAAATGGGGATTAGGTTTTTACATATACTTTTATTCCATCCTGGGGAATACAATTTAAGTTAACAAGTGCATATTATCCCAAATATAAACTCATTGATGATAACATTTTCACACAACATGTAATAATAGAAATTATAGTTTTTGAAACAATCGACTTTGTAGACAAAACAGGCAAACGCCTTCAGGGAGGAGCTAGTGGCACAACATGTACGTCTTTATTTCCGTCATTTCATCGATCGGAAATCAACATTTCTTTCAATCATACATATAGTATTAAGGATAAATAACACAATTTTTTTGCTTCCAAATTTCAAATATCTTTGCTATAATAAGTGCCTTTTCACTAAATTAATGATATCTATATAGCCACATGATTTGATGAAAAGTGGGAAAATGTTACTAAATGTTCAATATAATTTTTATTTTTTTTAAAATTTTTTTTTATTTTTATTTTTTATTTTTTTTTTTTAGAAATATTACAAAGTTTTGTTACTGTTAAATTTTTAGGAACATTTTCAAGAGTCTATTTTTACAATTTACTTCATTTAAATTTATTTAGATTTCCATTGAAAGAAATATTGGAAAAAAAATAGCAATGTGACTCTTCTGTGTGGGAGATAAGAAAAATTGTTTGTGGTATGTCTCTTTAAATATGAAATTAACACCCCTTTTATGACAATAAATAAATAAATAATACTTAACCGTCTAACCAAATTCAAATATATTTAGTTGAGAATTAAAAGAAAAACACCAGATTTTTACAGTTCTCTTCTTGTGTTAAAAAAACATGTACAATTTACATTCAGAATATCTCCCTTTTATGTTAAACCAGACGTTATTATGAGGCGCTGGGTACCCTCAGATAAGAGCTTTTTATGGAGTAACAAAACCAATCTATTAATTGTATAATACTGTCTTTTGTGCGACAGGTCGATAGCAATCTTTTTGCGCTCTTCTCAAACATTAGTCTGACCTAATCTTTGATAGAAGGTTTCGTAAACAAAATATCACCTTACGGATAATTTGAAAACATTGAATACATGTGTATGGCTTTTTTCCAACCTTTTTGGACCATCATTCAATGGCGAGGCCTGTGATCAAAGAGAGGGCATTCAAGTCATTCAAATACACGTCTTTATTGAATATCATGCAGAAATATTTCTTAAACATTGTCAACTGACATTTGATCTCGAGGGTATGCACTGTTAATTATTTATATACATAGGCTAATTTGGGATTATATTCATGAATGTGTGAATTGGCGATAAATTTTGACAAATATTATTTGAAGTAGCGCTATTTTATCACCAAAGTTTGCGTGTAATATGCAAGTAGTAAATTTCCATTAAGTAAAATCTGCAATTATGAATTAGTAAATAAATATGTCTAAAACCTTAAAGTAAAAAACTTCTTAATACGCAAAACTGTACATTTTCTTCATTATTTTATATCTAAAAGGTTGCAGACTTTGGATTACAATACACTGTGCCTTTTAGTTGCAAGATAAAATTTCCTCAAATTATGTTTAAAATAAAATCAGTCATCACAACGTCTTTTATGATCTAATATCGACATGAATTATGGTAAATTTACAGAACCAGCTCGCTATGGAACTATTAAAAACATCTCTTCCGGTCAATGGTGTATTATACATGTACCGCGTCAAACAGCGGTCAGGAGTTGTGCGGGAGTCCAAGCCCTGATTGACCAGCTAATTGAGCAAGTTGACAACTTCTCGCGGTCCGTGATAGGAGCTGGTTAGTGGTTTATTGGACGATCAACACCTTCAGCTTCCATAACAACTCTCGCTGCAGCATGTCCGACCAAAGTGGTTACTGAATCTATTGACATATGTGATTTACTCTTGGTTGATATTCTACACATTGCAGTGTTAAATTTATATAAATATATATTTATATCTAGTGAAAAAAAAAATGCTCGCAACTAAACCAAAACGCGCACTCAAACTTGTATTAAAAACTCATTACAAGATCAGTTTAAAACATATTTTAAAAAATTGATAGTGTATACATAGCATAATTTTAGCCCATACGTTTTATTAAGAATTATAATTCATTACTTTTTTCCCACTTTAAAGTGATATTTTTTTCCATGCTATAGTATTCATTGAGTAGTATAATTTAAATATGCTAAATATTTTAAATTTCTTTTTCTTTTTGGTGAAAATAATGAAATTTAAAAAAGAGATGAATTTTTAAAAATCATATTTCACAAAAGTTATTTATTTTATTTTATTTTATTTTATTTTTTTGGCATTAAGAAAGAAATCACAGCATTGGCATTAGTTTATTAATTTTTTCTTCCCGATTTGAAATTAACAAAATTTTGAATTCCTTTATCTTAAGTAAAAATAAAACTATTATCACAATTAACAAATCTGTTTTTTTTTCAGGAGTGACATATTGGCATATGTGATTACATTTCTTAAATTAAAAATCAAAAATATTTTAACAAAAATGGAAGGGGGAAAACACCACGCAAACAAAAGGTGTCCAAGACCGTAACTGAACAATTCATTTAACTACACTGTAAGATGCATGTATCTTCGTTTATTTTTTCCCCTCATTCCTTTTTTCACGTCCGCATGCCTGTGATTCGTTTTTAACCTTAGCTAATGATATTATTTAGAATGCATGAAGACCCGTGAAGATTCACAGTAGGAATATTTCGATGTTGTTTTGCCATTTTCATCACCTTTCCGGGGGTAATGAACCCTAGCATTGCATTTATAAAAAGCATTTATAAAAATAAAACTAATTAAAATATATTCTTTCTAGACTATAGTTTTTTTTTCATCTCTTAATGACTTTTCTTAATTTTTCGTCATGTATCGTTGTTTTATAGGAACAGTATTTCCTTCTAAATGTTTGCATTTCTAAAATTTTGTGTATTTTTAAGTGCTTTTTATTAAACAAAAATTGCATTTTTATATTAAACAAAGAATTCCACAATTTCCTATCTTTGCTTTACATATTTTTTCAAAAATAAGATTTCATAAAAATGTGTGTATTGAATATATAAAAAAAATTATTACTTGGTTTCAGATCTGTTTATTTTAGAAGGTTTTGAAAAGTCGTACTACCAATGATATTGTTTAATCCAAAGTAATTTAATCTCATAAAAAGTCAAACTCAACATCGGTGTTAAAAAAAATCAAGGTCTCAAGATACAATAATACACGATTTTCAAGAACTTTTATATGCAAATAGTTCTGAGTGCAAAACTAAACAAATTGAATAACTAAAAAGCGAAAACAATAAGGCACACTTTTTTTTACGTGCCATGAAAATATAACTGCAAAAATTCATGTATTTTTCTTCATTATGTTACAAAGAAACAAAATTGTCCTTCATTGTGTCTGAGGAACACTTTCTTCACCCCCGAAAAAGAATAAGTGTATCTATGTGATAAACCAAGAGATGTCCCTCCTCTATACATAATTCAATTATTAAGTCTTTCTATACCACGAAACTTAATAAAGATGTGGTTTTGTAATTACACCGAGTAACATAATTTGACCAAGGATAATAATTCGGGTCATAAAACACTGGGTTTCTGATTTTACAATATCTCACTGTCGTTTGATTCTTATCAACGAAGGAGGAAAGATGTTAAGGCATTTTCCCTTATAATCTAATTTGTTTCTCGTCCAAGTTAATGTCGTGTCAAATCTGCTTTTTTGTTTCTATTCTTTAAACTAGATAGTCAAGCACATTTTAGATTGGAGAAAAAAAAATATATACATAGAACAAGTTTTACACGTCTCCTTTTCACAATATAAATGAAGTTAAAACCAAGCAAAGCCTCTTCCATATACCGACATACCGGTAATAAAATTCAGCAATACTTGGTACTTGTATATTTTTCTTTATTTTACTTTGCTATGTGTTACTTAAGACGGAAACATCTGTATACAATACAGCTCAAAGAATATGTACACAAATGTGAAAAATATTGTAACAGTTATACTCATCTTCTATAGCCAGTGACCGGTTTCGGAATAGAGAT